TTATGATGTGACAAAGGAAATTTGAGTATATTGTGCTCATATTATTGGCCGAAATTGTGTTTTGCATAAACTTTGAGCTACAGCCTCATTCCTTTCTCCTTTCCAACAACTGGTCACAGAGCCTAGGGATATTTTAACGATAAACAAAAATGAGAAATTCATGGTTCCATATTCTGAATCTGGTTACGGTACTTCTAAAAATTATTCAAGTCCTATGAATGATTTTTAAAAAAAGAAAGAAAAGGAAAGAGAAAAAGAGCTCTTGAGCAAAGTATTTTTCACAAGGCTCTTTAAATTTAGATAAAATAAAAAGGGAAAAGTTTATACAAGGGTGATGCCCTAAACAATCAAATTAAGGTGTGGCTCAAAAATTCAGGGGAAGAGGTAGTTTTGATGCCCCAAAATCATCAAATTGATCATCTTGACCTCGAAAAGTATAGACGTGAGAAAAAAATGGATTTCAAGTCTTGAAAATAGTGCATCTTGTAATGCATTTTCTGGACTAATTTTAAAGATTTTCAAGTGTTTACAGATCTGCTCAATCTATACTATGTTTGAAGCTTTAAATTTTATACCTAAAAAGAAAAATAATTTTGCAGGCCATCACAAAGAGTTCCAGTACTAAAATAACATCTTTCGATACTATTTGAAGCCACGCCTTACTTTGATTGTTTAGGGCCTCAACGTTATACAAACCACACCCAAATAAAAAAGAAGGGAGTTTTATGATAAAGGGGGCTTGAACTTCTGAGACGTCATGCCATGCGAAGGCATGATGATGGATGCACAATCAACATGGTGAAATCTCTTTTAAAAAGCTTGAAAGTTTCTCTTTAAATGATTTAGAAAATGGTGTAGCAGTCACCGAAAAAAGAAAAATCTAAAAGCTTTTCATTTTGTAGGGAATAACTCATGTGAAGTATAACCAATAAAAGCAAACTTCATGAACTAACTCAGATTACAGAAAGGAAAACAAGTTTACAAAACATAAAAGGTGCCAACCATGATCCAACCTTCAAAATTGAAGTTGCAGGAGAACCAGATTCAATACTTTGCCAAGCGAACAATCATTGAGGCTGAACAAAGTGCAGGCTGTTTTGTATAATTCTTCTTTGAAAATATGGACCAGAGGATGAAAAAGAAGCTCCAAACGAATTTCCATACAAATACAAAGAGAATAAAAAGAAAGTTGAAGAGTGAAGGGGAGGCTTGGTGTTTGACAACGGAGAAGCAAGCTGAAGGAGATAGAGGCAAACAAGAGGAGCCCAAGAAGTTGACAAAGAGAAATAAAGGTTAAGTGAAAGCGACGCTTGGTGTCCGACGATTGAGAGGCGAGCTGAAGCACTAGAGGCGAAATTGGAGAAGCTCCAAAAGGTAATCAATATATTGGAAAACACTGTTCCAGAAAATGCCAGGTGGCACCTAGGCGGCAAAGGGAGCCAGGCCGCCCAGGTTGTTCAAAAGGGGGCAAGGCGTATCTAGTAATCCTGTTTTAGGTCCAGATTTTGTATGAAAAATACATATTCATGCATTTTTTATAACTAGGAGGGCACAGTCTCCTGCGCACTCGCCCAAGTACCCTGGCTGCCTGCCTCGGCAGGGTACTAGGTGGACCCCCCGGGCCAGCCTGCCCAGTTGGTCTGCACAAACGCCTCTAGCCCACCTACGCGGCTGCCTAGGCTCTAGGCAGACCGCTTTTTTAATCAAACACAATTACCGAGTACTATGTTGAAGGGATTGAAAAAGGAAAACTTAGGGAGGATGTTGAAATGGTAATTCAAAACTTTTAAAAGGGGTAGTTTGGTCTTTTAGTTTTCATGGTTTTCTAGTATTTTATAGAATTATTGGAAAAAGAAAAGAAACTTCTTGAAGGAGGCTGGAACCAAAGAGGTATTTTGGAAATATTTAAGATGCATTAAATAGGCATGTTGGTAATTGAAAGAACAAGCTCTATATAGAGTTGTTCTAATCAGAAAACTGAAAGGCAAAAAAAGGAGCGAGTATTGGGAAGAGAATAACTTATGAGCTCTTTGAGATAAACTTTTGGAGCTCTACTCTGGCCTTTTGGCCATAACATCTCTTTATTTATTTTGTTGTGTTTATCAGTATATAGCAAGTTTGTTTGTGTGATGTCTAGCAAGAGCATATATTAGAAAAAAGGATGCTTTATATCATGTAGGAATATAAGTTTGTTTGAAATAAAGGAGCTACACTACTTATAGGGAGACTTAGGCATTGAATAACTTAAGGGGACACGCATGCCACTTAGGTGGGAACTTTCTAGACATCATATGGACAACACAATGACTTAATATACTCAAGCTAAACATCACAGAAACAAACGTACTATATACTGATAAATATAAAATAATAAATAAACATCAAATAAGGGAGATGTTATGGCTAAAAGAACATAGCAAAGCTCTAGAATTTACATCAAAGGGTTCACACGTTCTTCTCTCTATAATACTCTTGGTTTTTTTGTTCCTACATTTTTTCCAACGTAGCTATTTAATGCATAGTTCAAATTTCCAAAATGCCCCTTCGGTTTGAGCTCCCCTTCAAGAACCTTCTTTTTTGTTACCAATAATTCCACAAAATAATAGAAAACCCTGGAAAAATTAAAAGATCATACTACTTTTAAATTAAATTACAAGCAACAACTATTTATATTCATACGGATGTTAGCCAAACTTTTCAGCTTGCACATTTGCCTCCTTGGGAGCCAAAGCAATTTGTCCAATACAAAAGCTCAATGAGATGTCATTTTACTTGCACAAAACCCATCAAGCTTCTATGGAATATGAGAACCTCACCTTGTCTAATAGATCAAATTAACGTAATGAACCTCGATTGTCTCTCGACCCACAACAACCTTTATCAATACTCATTGACCTTCTTGAGCTGATTGTGCATCCATGCACATACCATCTGAGTAACAAAGAGCCCTTATTAGAACATATTCTCCTTTGGTATTCCTTATGACCCTCTAAAACCTATAGGACCACTACTACCTTTTGTTGCTCCATCACCCCAAGAGCAAAGCCCACTCAATATGCAAATGGGATAAATCCCTAAATATGTCACCCCCTCCAAGACCAAGAGATTTCACATTATCCTCCAATGATCAAGAGGATTCCCATGAAAGATGTTAGGCCTCTTTGGATGCTTCAATGGCCATAGCAAAGACATTTCCCCACTTAAGGGAACACTGGAAAACTGCATTTGGTTTTTAGGGAATAAAGGCAAATCAAGCTTTCTTCTTTTTTTCAATCTTACAGGCATGTAGGCAGTGATCTATAAGATAAAAGGGGTTACAGAAATTAGGCTTCCCAGTAAATCGAGGTTTAAAAAATTTGATCAGCTTACCCAATCAGTCACAAGCTGGACCAGATCGGCAATTCCAATCTGGATCGACCGATTTGACAATGTCAATGAATACAGAAAGTAAAAAAGGGCACTAACTAAAATTTTGTGTATGCAAACACCTGGCCTTAACCTACTTACCCACCAACTAACCAGAAATAAACTCTGTTACCATCTCCATTCCTAAATCACGTCTTGTTCTCAAGATCTACTTCCCTCAAGCAGAGCTCACATAACCCCCAACATCCTAGGTAACCTCATTATTTCTCTAGACACCAACCATTTCTCTCGTGACAAATTTCTCCTCCAACACTCTAGTGCAAAGAGCTCTAGGGTCTTCCCAAAAATGCCAAAGCCATCTGCCTAAAGGTCTTGTTCCATGTCTTTCAGCGCCTTATCTCGAACGCTCCAACCTCATTGGCTCTTAAGCTTAAGAAAATCCTCCCCTAACCAAGTGATAGTTGTGACTCCCATTGCCACCTCACAGTTGATATTTACAACAAAAGTAGCCCTAATGAGAGTGGCTCCCCCTGCTAGAGAAAGAAATTGGCTCTATCATGGTGCAAAGCTCCACACAACTTCACCGTTACTTCCATCTGAAAGGTCCTTCCACAGCTTGGCAATACATGAGAGCCACCAAATTCTGGACAAACCAGCCTACTCGAATTATCCTCAACTGAAAAACAGCTTTTGACCATCTTAATCATCCTCAAGTGCTTAGCTTGTATGGATCTGCTTAGTGACGAAGCACCATGCCCAAATACCAACTAGAAGGCATGGGCAAGATGCAGTAAAATATAGTGATTCAAGACCTCCAATAAAATGATAAACAAAAAGGGAAGAAGTCCATTGACAGTGATTCCATTGATCATTCTCCAAAAGGAGTCCACGACATTCAAGTTATAATAATTTGAAGAGCAAGTTGCAAAAACAATTAGCAGCTTTATCATGAGGAATTGTACAATGGGGACTCAAGTTCGTTCACATAGTGAACTTCATGAACCTAAATTCTGATGGTTGGTCCAAAGGCCATTCAAACTTAATAAGTATTAGAGAAGTCATGCTGCAGTCCGAATCAGTGGGGATTGTGAATTCTATAATCACCAAAATGTGTAATTTATAACTTTAAGGGATGAGATCACACCGCAGAGACAAGTCGTTAAGGGCAATTCTAGTTATTAGGATAGCTGGTGTAGGTTCACTCTTGAAATGATGCCTTATTAATGTCTGGGAGAATTACGCTTTTGCAAGGATATTTTCAGAATGTCACGGCAAGAAACCTCAGTGGCACTAGTCCGTGTACAAGTGTAGGGGATTCGCTTTCTCATGGGTTGGACTCGTAATTATGAAGTAGGGCGATTGTAGTTACCTTGGGGGTTTGAGTTATTACTTCAGAAAAGGATCATGACTTACGATGAACTCCATATCTATGTAAATAAGCACAGACATACTAACCCAAGACAGAAATAGACCTTCAATTCAAAGTAACATAATAATGAAGCCAGTAATACCTACACTGGAAAAAATTTACAGTATCATAAAACATTAAAAAGAAAATGACATACTGACATTTCTAGAATATAAGATACAATGATCATGCAAGGATGTATAACTGAACAAGGATAATGACAGACCTGAATTTGCAGCAATAATTGCTCTTGTGCCTCAATATTTTGGGCAATTTCTTGGCAGATATTATCATATTTCGACAATTCCTTCTTGAAAAGATCCTCATATGATCCAGTGGTTGTCATCAACTTAGGAAGTATATCATCCTACAGCAATAGATATGAACATATGTTACTCAACAAATGTGTGTGTAAGAAAAGAAATTTCATAAGAATGGATAATAAAGGTGTTAAAAAATGACCCAAATCTCTAGTACAGATAACATGTTATTTTCTAATGTAAGGTTAGATCATACAATACTTCATACAAAACAAACAAAATATTTTCTAGGTTCATCCATTGCATGCATTACACTTCTTTTCATAAGTTAAATACACAGAATGAATAATGGTACCCAGAAACGATCATCATTAATAACTCAAGTGAACGTGTGACATAGCATGTTTCCTTGTCTTCCACATAGATGGAAAAATAAGTGTCCTACATCTAAAACTGACTGGATTTCTGCCACATAAAACTCCAGTGATCTGTTACTCCAATCCAACTTATAATTAGTGCATTGAGAAAGAAATGTGACAAGAGAGCTAAAATGGATAAATTTCAGTAAAATAAAGAGGAACTTACTGGTCTTCAAGTAACAAAACATCAAATAAATTATGCCTCAGATGGCTCAACCGAACAGCCTTTCCAAGGAAGTACAATAATCGAGAAATGTGGTGTTACAGAGTAGGAACTCTTCATCACCCAATCCTAAAATACAACTCTTGAAAACAGACACTTTAATAGCTGGGAGCCGGGGATCGTAATAGTTCAAAATTTGTGCAGAAACTCCTTGTGAATATCCCACAGAAGGGTCTGTTTAATGCCCCCCTAGAAGGGTCTATTCCTTTGTCCGAATATAACCTTGAAGGGAGCATGGATTCGTAGCTTTTTGGGTCCTCCTCAACTGTTCAAAGAACAGAGAGACTGAATGCAGCCTCACAGTTTTAGGTGTGGCAGCAACTGCAGCAACCCATTTCTCTCCCAGAAATTAAGATGCAACAGAATTTGCAGCATTCCCCTTTCCTTGAAATTTGGACCTCTAGATGTTTCAGTCAAAAAGGGAAGATAATAATTGGCCCCTCCCTATGACAATATATGGTAAAGATGTTTGCTTTCGTTTATTTCTTTGGAGCATTATTACTTAACATGAAGAACTCTTTAGATATGTAAGATCCATAACATTTAATTAAAAAACTTGAATTTCCAATAATTCCAATACATAACCTTTTATTATTTAGGTAACAGTTCTCATGTGGCCCTCAGACACATGAAAAGGAGTTCAGAAAAGTGCATTGCGGAGGACTTCATTATCACACATACCTTTCGTTTCATCTCCTTAAGCATGTCCTCAAGACCTGCCCTTTGTGCTCCGAGAGTCTCCAACTGCCTCTGAATATGGTTAAAGACATTCATCAGTTAAAGAAACCACTTTTTATTGAGATTAATTACAAAATTCATACAGAAAATAACACCAAATACTTATCCACATATAAGTGTTTGTATGAATGTATGTATAATAGGAACCAAGCTGAATGATTCCATATGGAGAAGGTATAGTTAAGACTACAAGATATCAAGAAAGAGAAAAAAACAAGGTGACGCTAAGGTCTGTCCATACAAAATTTTCCAGTCTATCTTGTTACACCAGTTTATTAAACTCAAATGTCATTCAGGATAGACTGATAGGGAATTCTTATATTACAAACAGTTCAACACATTCTTTTGATATAGAAAAATGGCATTTTCTCCTTCTTTTCCTTAATTTTGATAAGCACTAAGGACATCAGTGAAAAGAAATAAATGCATGCAAACTAGTATCGAGAGAATGATTATCTAGGAAATTGCCTCAATCCAGAACCCAACCTGAAGATAATTAGGTATCCACCAATAAAGTGTCCACTCTATTGAACTTTGGAAAAGCAAGTGTCCTTCCATATAAAGAAGAAACAAATAAACAGCTCGAAGTTTGCTCAGACTCCATCAAATGTGTCTTTCCAAGAAATTCATCAAAAAAAAAAAAACAGTGTATCCTTCTAAATAATAAAAAACAAATAAAGGTCAATAAGAATGGGCCGATCAAATGAAATAATGCAAGCATCATACTAGAGCCACACCGATCCACAAAGCTAAGTAATAGAGGTGCCAACCTTTCCTATTGCTAAGGATGGCCCAAAGCCCTATAATACCCCCAGAACTAGTATCAAATATCATTTCCCACAATCACATGCGTGCACTCACATGCGCATGCACATAGCTACTGGGATCTCCCAACTAACGTGATGATCCCGCTCAGGGATCATGATCCAGCATTCCTTTGTCAGGATCTCCATGGAATCTCAATCCCTAATATTAGGGATTTTATGCCAGACCTATTGCATCATCGACTACATAACAATGATTAAATAGAGCCATAAACTACATCTTGAAACTATGCTTCCATCAAGCCATAAACTACATGTCTACTTCATGAAACTATACTTCCATCAATATGTGCCTCATCAAAATATTAGTGAGATAATGAATTAATGATTGGATTTTCTAATTTTTAAAATTTCTATTTCTAATGACTTTTTATTCACCAATACTAATAATATAGAATGATTGGATTTTTTTAAACTTTTTATTAAATTCTATTTTTTAAAATTTATGCATTAATTAATAAATTGTACAATATGCACTACCAATATGCATGTGTCAATCCGTCACTCCCGCCCCCATCCCCACACCCTCTCCAAGCAACTATGTGCATACACGCACAGCCCAAGAGTCACCAAAAGACAACCAAATAGAAAGTAACGAAGAGAACACAATGGTAATCTATGTATGTGATCATGGGGATCTACATAAGTGAACAAGAAAGTATTAATTTCATAATTAATCAAGAAACAATATTCCAAATGATAGAATATTAAAAAAAAAAAAAGAAGGAAGTGCAACTCTGCATTACATGCAACATAAAACTAAATTGTTTGGATGACCCATAGCCTCCTTTCAAAAAGACATTACCAGGCTTTGCTTCAACGCTCCCACGATAGCATCCTCATTGCCATCCAAAGACATTATTGGCCTTGCAAGACTAGGAAGAGCAGATTCTATCTGCAATTCAAAAGTAGTATCAAAAAGAAACATCAGCATCTTCTCAAGGATAAACCCATTAAAGAAATAATTGCTATCAACGCATACAAATTCCATCAAACGACAAATAATAAACATAGACCATAAAGTCACATAAAAAGCTCCAAAGAGAAACTAGCTCCTTTGTGACATCTAGATAAATGCGTCCAAGTACAATCACCTCCCCAACTTTCATTAAATATCCAAAATAAACAGTCAATGTTCAAAACTTCAAATAAAAATTAAAAGCACGCATCCGGTCAAGTTACATTTTCATATTAAAAAAGCAACACAACTCTAGGAAACATCAGATGGAGATCAAAGGCGAAATAATCTAGGACAGTTCTCAGATGACCACTGTAGCATTTGTATGTGTGATTCTACAAGGTATGTTCAGTTTAAAAGCCAATGCATATATGCAAGCCAACTCAGGCATCTACCCATTTGAAGGTACTTTTTCATGATTTCTTCCACAAATACTTTAAGCCAAAAAATACAATTTACAACAAGGAAATGAATAATTGATAGAAAGAAGTTCCCTTGATGAGCATTTACCCATATTATGAAGACATGATATGTCCCTAGCATGTTTTTTAAACTTTTTATTAAGTATATTTACTAGGCAGGGAAGATAACTATCACGTTCATCGAATAATGATAAGACAATCGGACAGTAGGCATTCAGATGAATAAAACCGCAGCAATAGATAAGTAACATACTAGCTATTAGAGCTAGAGATAGATAGAGATAGAGAGAGAGGGAAGGAGGGAGAGAGAGAGACTCAAGAAACATACTGGTCTGCAATCGAGGATTGACATGAGCGCCAAGTGATCTCTCACAGCTCGCTCAATACGCCCATCACTATCTGTCGCTTGTTTCAGGTTCCCAGCAAACCTATTCAGCCTATCCTGCAAATTCTTTGTCAAAGTTCCTGATTGAGGCCTAGTCCATCGTGTTCCAAATTGCATTCGAAATTGAGCATCCTCTCTTGCTTCCTTCTGCAAAAGCTCCTCAGTCTGGATCAAAAGCTCCTGGTTCACCCTCTTCAAATCTTTCAACTGCTGAAGCTCAGATTCCAAACCTGATGGACCACCTGAAATCTGAACAGCCTCCACTTCTTCCTTAAGGTCGGAGGGGATAGTGAGGTTCCCTTCTAGTGCAAGAATGGAATCAGGAAGGTCCATTTCTTTGAGCTTGACTCTGGTTATCTCACTGCCTTGCTGCAATTTCTCCGCTTGGGTTCGAATGATATCATCCACCATTTCAGTGTATCTCGAAAGGGCTTTGGCACTACTATCAGGAACTAGACTAGCAAACATCTTCACTTTGCTCGCATCTAAGATATCAACCATGGGCGTGGATTTGACCAATGAAGCAGCAGGAAGTGAGGGTAGGGAATTTGGGGCAGGGACTCTCATGAGATAAACTCTATCATTTTCTTTTATGGCCCTCTCTAGGTTACGATTCAAATTCGATTCCAACCTAGTTACCGAATCCAAGAGAAGCCCAACAGCACCTTTTGTTGATTTCTTAGCATCAGATAGCGCCGAAACCCCACTCTTAAGCCTTGCAATTTCCTCCGCAATCTCCTCTTTATCATGCAATTCTAAGGCCAGCCTGTAGCAAGCTTCTGCGTAGAATTGGGCAGCTTTTAACTGAACATGGGAGATCCAGGTCCGGTCAAAGTGCTGGTTGAAGGGTTGAATGTTCAGAGCTGCGAAAGTTTCCTCATAGTAAAGACTCACCTAAAACAAGACAACTTTTTGGGATTAAATCCATAAACAATTTTACCAGGAAAAATGAAACGGATAACTTACAATAAAATTTGTGTTATGGCTGTTCTCCCAGTTAATATAAATTTTTATTGTGGACAGGTAGTTCAGAATCACAACTTAATTTTCAAATTTCATGAACCGAAAAGCATGTAAAGTAGCACTCTTCTATTTCTAATAATTTAAAATGCATAAGAATGCATGGAACTATTACCAAAAAGCAGAATCAAATTTGAGCAATGAAATGAGCATATGCATATGGTAAACATTTCCCAATTTAAAATTAGAACAGGGAAAAGGATACATCTCAAAGCATCAAAGTTGCATTGCTAATAAAAACCTTCCAAAAGGAAAGTGACACAAAGTGAATCAGGGAACCAGAAAATAAAAATAAGAACTAGCAGTACCAATTGTTCCAAAATTATGGTGATAATCACATGACAAAACAGCAAAAGGGTAAAAGAAATTAAAAAATTTTCCATGCACGATCAGATTCCTCGATGATAATGTCTGTAAGAGACTAGCTATACCCATTTTGATACAATGGAAATCAATAATCACGATAAAAACAGAAGTCACAGATATGGATTAAAAATTAGCACGCATAATTCATTAAAAATTCTCGGGCTTCTTACATCTCAAAAGGAAATTAAAATTAGCGGTTTCTCGGTCTACCTGTGGCTAGGTCAGGTTGCCCGGACTAAATTCTCATGAGCGGATCGAACAAGACCTTAAATTAAAAACCCAATAGAGGCAGAGAGAGTGGGAAATGAATCTATGCATACCCCCCCCAATTCGAAATAAATTAATAAAAAAAGACAGATAAAGAACATAAGTTAATAGAAAATGAGAGAGAGAGAGAGAGAGAGAGAGAGAGAGAATCAAGAAAAATAGAGACAGGACCAACCTGCCTCGCCACCTTTGCACACAGCCCAGGCGGCTTCCCATCGGCAATCACCTTCTCAAAGAAGCACTCCTGCGCCTGGGCCAGCATCAGCCTCTCAAGCATTCCCACGCACTCCACAGACAAATCCACCGTGCACTGCCCCAATCCCGCCTTCATCGCCACATTATCCCTCAAATAAGCAAATGCCCCCGCCGCTCCCTGAAATGCGTTGCACGCAGTCTTCAACCCATTTGCCCCCGTCCTGTCAGCCCCCAAAGCAATCTGACTATAAATCGCCCCCAAATTAAACAACACCGCCGCCTTCTCCAGATGAATACTTTGCTGTGATGCCTTTCTATTGGATTTGAAGGCATCAGCCCATGTGAACGTGACATTAACGTGGTCCTTTTCAGGTGATATCGGGAATCGAGATTCAATCACCGAGAGGGAGCGAAAATAAGATTGGAGGAGGTCTCGCCGAGAATCGGGAGATGTGTTCGGAGAGGATTCGATGTCCGAGCGGAGTTGCTTTAGGGTTTCAAGGTCGTCTTCAAGGTTTATGGCTTGGCGTTCAGAGTAGTGGAGGGTGATGTAATTTCGAAGGGGGCGGTACAGGTCGATGGAGGTGGGCTTCTTCTCGTGAATGGCAAGCATCACGTTCACGGTGGTAGAGGATGGGGGCGCCGCCATGGTGCGCCCTGGCTCGAGCCTAGGGCTCGATCAAGCTTCAGAGAGAGAGAGGAAGGAGAGGAGTTGGGTTTCGTCGTGAGGAAGAAAATGAATGGGGGGTTAAAAGAGAGCTGGAAGACGAGTGAACGAGCCAAAAGACTTTCTTTCCGTGAAGCAGACGAGGAAGTCATCGAAGATTGGTTGTTGCGTAAACTACTAAAAACCGTCCTTCACCGTATTCTCAACTCCTCCAAAGCTCTTGCTTGTTTTAGTTTTCGAGCCACTTCTTGTCTTATGTTCTTTTTCTTCCTTTACATTGACGAATAGTAGAAAGAAGAATTTTTTAAATAAAGTTTATATAAGGTTGCAACCTTAAAATGTAAAATTAAATATGCACCTCAAATATCCATAGAAAATGGTTGTTTTTATGTTGAAAAACCCGCTAATTGATTATCTAAGATATATGAATATGAAAAAAATATATATATATTTTGAGTGTCATAGACAGCGCATCTTGCAACACATTATCTAGACCATCCATTTTCATATATTTATAGATCTACTTGGTTTTAACCATTTTTTTAGTTTAAAAGTTTATCACTAGATATTAAAATTAAAATAGATTTCCAAATAATCCTATGAATTTTTTTTACCCATCAATTTTCCAACAATTCAAGACAATATTATGGGTGAAATAAATGAGACCTCCTTGAAAGTCATGAACCATGATTTCACGAGAATCAAACGCTTCAACGGGCTGAATTTCAAGAAATGGCAAAAAAATGTTTTCTTTTTGCTTACCACTCTCAAGGTGGCTTACATAGTCACTGAGTCTATGCCTATACCGCCGCCTCCATCGACTCAATCGAGGAGCAACCTCAAGCCTATAAAAGATGGATAGAGGATGACTACATTTGCAGAGGTCACATCCACGATGCTTTGACATACTCCATTTATGACATGTATGCATCGGTGGCCACGGTGAGAGAGCTATGGAAACGACTTGAAACGAAGTACTTCACATAATAGTCCGATAACAAAAGGTTTCTCATTGCTAATTTTACAGATTTTAAATTCATTGAAAACAACCTAATTATTTCTCAAGTATATGAGTTACAGTTTGTAGTCAATGAACTTAAAGATTGTGGAATTTCATTAGACTAATTTCTCCAGTAGGTTCTATAATTCATAAGCTACCCCTATCTTTGAAAGAGTATCAAAATAAAATGAGGCAGAAGAAAGTGGACCTTGATTTTGTTTAACTTCAAATATCTCTTCAAATTGAATAAGATAATAGACTTAGGCAAAATAAATATGAAATAATTAATTTTCATTCTAAGGCAAACCTTGTTGATAAAAAATCAAGTGCTCCATATAACAAGAAGCATTTATTTCCCAATGTCCATAATGAAAATCATAAGGACAAATTTAATGCCAACAAAAATAAAAATAAAACATGTTGCTATGAATGTGGAAAATCGGGGCACTATTCAAGAGAATGCCGACACCGGAAGTACCTTAAAAGGCTTAGAGTTCAAGCAAACTTGACCACTGATGAGCAATTTGTAGCAATGGCAACTGAAGTAAACATGATCGATACAGATAACATATGGTGACTCAATACCAGCGCTACCATTCATGTTTCTAACAATTGTGACATGTTAAAGACCTTTGAACCAGCAGGTGATGGTAATTTGATTCAATTTGGAACCCAAATTGTGGCTAAAACAGTTGGAAATGGTACGTGGAACTAAAGTTAGTTCAGGCAAGGTTCTTACCTTGAAAAACATGTATTATGTATCTGATATAAGAATAAACCTTGTTTCGGGATGTATCTTGAACAATAATAGCTTTAAAATAGTCATTGGGTCTGATAAATTCATCGTGATAAAAAATTTTGTTTTTGTTGGCAAGGGATACTCTTGTGATGAGATTTTCAAATTTGATTTAGTGAATAGAAAAAATACGTGTTCTGCTTATTTTGTGACTTCTTATAAAATGTGACATGGTAGATTAGGACATGTTAATTATACTTCTATTAAATATTTGGTGAAATTATGATTGATATCTAATTGTGATGATTTATCTAAAGAAAAATGTGAAATATGTGCGCAAATAAAAATAACTAAAAAACAATTCCCTTCCATAGAAAAAATATAGTGAATTGGTAGGACTTATATATAGTAATATATGCGATTTAAATAATGTTTTAACTATAAATGGTAAGAGATGTTTCATTACATTTATTGATGACTTTTTTAGACATGCGTATGTTTATTTGCTTAGACATAAAATGAGGTTTTTGAAAATTTTAATGTTTTTAAAGCGGAAATTGAAAATCGACTTAGCAAGATAATTAAAATCATCAGAAGTGATAGGGGTGGAGAATATTTATCAAGTGATTTTAATAAATTTTGTAAAAATAATGACATTATTCATCAAGTGACTACTCTTATACCCCACAAGTAGAACTTTAGTTGAAATTGTAAGTGCTATGTTGATTTATTCTTCTTTACCATTAAATTTATGAGGTGAAGATTTATTATTTGCATGCTTTATATAAAACCTGTGATAAGACCCCTTATGAGTTTTTGTTTAATAGAAAACCTTCTTTAAATTTTCTAAAAGTGTGGGGTTGTCCTGCTCATATTAGACTTCTAGATCCTAAAAGAAATAAATTAGGTCCTAGAACCACTAAATATGTCTTTGAGGGATATTCACAAATAATAAATCATATAAGATTTTTTTATCTAAATTCTAATATAATAATGGAATCTAGAGATCCTGAATTTTTTTAAAAAAATCTAAAAATGTAAATTAGATAAAACAAGTGTTATACTAAGTGAAAATAATTATAAGAATGATCAAAATGTCGATGAATAACATGTATAAAATAATGATAATGACAAAATAGAATCAAGAAAAAATAAAAGAATAAGAGGTGATCCATGTTAGAACTTTATATTTATCTAGTTGAGAGTAATCAAAATAAGATATTAAATTCTTTGCATATAGTCTCAAATGTGGAGGTAGATCCTACATCACTGTGTGAAGCTTTGGCATCTCAAGATGCAATTTTTTGGAGAGAAGCTATAAATAGTGAAATGGAATCCATAGTGGCTAATAAAACTTGAAAATTAGTAGATGTTCCACCCAATTCTAAACTCATAGGTTGTAAATGGATATTTAAAATAAAAATGAATTTTGATGGTTCTATTAATAAATATAAAGCAATGTTAGTTTCAAAAGGATTTAAATAAAAAGAAAGCATTTATTATTTTGACACGTATGTACATGTGCTAAAAATTGCTATTATTAGATTGCTCGTAGCAATAACGTCTATTAGCCATCTAGTCATACATCAAATAAATGTAAAAACCATTTTCTTAAACGGTGACTTTAATGAAGATTTTTATATGGAACAACCCGAAGGGTTTGTGATGCCATGACTCGAGAACAAAGTTTGTAAATTAGTTAAATTTCTTTATGGACTTAAACAATAGCATAAGAAATCTGACAATGTGTTAATGTCAAATGGTTTTAAGAAACATGAGGTTGATAAATGTGTTTATAGTAAGAAATTAAATTCTCTGTGTGTTATTATTTGTCTATACGTAGATGACATGCGTATCTTTGGCACTAATCTATAAAAAGATTCCTCCGATATGAAGGACTTATGAGAGGTTGGTGTGATATTTGGTATCAAAATAATGAAAAAAGAGAATAAATTAATTTTCACTCGATCTCATTACATTGAAAAAATGCTTAAAACGTTTGAACATACTGATAGTATGTTAGTCTCTACCCCTATAGATCATCATATTAAGTTAAAGAAAAAATAGGTTGTAATGTTATAAAAATAGGTTGCAATGTTATAAAAATAGGTTAAAGAAAAAATAGGTTGTAATGTTAATAGAACATCATATTAAAAAAATACTTACAAACATATGCCTTGTGTGTAAATTTGACAAGGAGAAATGCAATCATTAGTTCATACAATATTTGATTGCCAATGAGATGTGGAAATGGGTGAAAAGTGTACCTAGAGTGGAGATGGAAATTCCCATGCAGGTTAATGAGTTATCTACACAAAGATGAAGGGTTGAAATATCAGGTGTGGGTGGAATGTACTTAAAATGGCCACATGAGTCATGGTTTGGAAGATTTGGAAACAAATAAATAGAAGTGCATTTGAAGGAAAAGTTTTGAGTGTTGGAGCATGAGAGAGTACATGAAGAGATGGGAATACAAGTGGCAAAGTTATCATCTATATGTAAAGAGTTTTGGGGAGTAGCTAGAGTGGATCTATATGCAAGTTACTAGTAAGAAGAGCCATGGGAGGTGGAATCCACCTGATCATGGTTGGGTCAGGCTTAATTTTGAGGGAAGCTCAATTCGGAACTTCGGGTAAGTAGGTGTAGATCGAATTGTAAGAACCCATGAAGATCAAATTGGACAGTAAACAAGGGAAGGAACAGTCAATTACATGGATTGAAGCAGGTAAAAGAGCTGGATGGCAATGTTATCATACAAGGAGATTCTTTGAATTTAATAAAATGGTGTTATGAGAAGATGAAAGTATGATGGAAGTTGAGAGATTTTTAGAGAGAAATTCAAGATATCTGTAAAGATAGAGTTGCAAGATTTGTTCACATATACATGGAAAGGACTAGGGAAGTAGATTATTTGGCTAGATAGGTGGGACAAGCTAATAAAATATGTACCTCTAAAATCAATTTCTAACATCAACAATAAAATTTTGAACCTAAAAAACTAGTACAGATCTTGCTGATATGTGAAAACTTATTTTTTTCAACCATAACGTTCAAGCCGAGATGATCGATGTAAATGTTTTTCAATGCTTGAATTGCAATTTTTGATGAGTTATGAAGGGATGATTTACTTATTTTGATAGCCATGCAGCTTTATGAAACCATTTTTCATAAAGATTGTCTATAAATAGACTATTTACCTTTTGTACAAAGAAGTCATAGCTATTCTTACCTATTAGATGTAAAATTTGATGGCTTGGGACGAGTCACTTAGTCCATTTTTGGAACTTTATGTCTAATCAATAACACTTTTACAACTACATATTTTGAAATTTAAAGGACAAAATGACTGTGACTTCTTTGTACAAAAAGCATACGGTCTCTTTATAGATAATCCCTTTTCCATACATCAAATATATGAAATAAAATATTAACTTTATAATAGCTATTTCATGTAACCCAACGGGCTAAACACTTTAGCTTAGACCCCCAAGTTCAAGGTTCAAACCCCCAACCCTGTCTTTCCTCATTTTTCTTTGGACATGGTTTCTATGAGGCCAAGCCCTCAATTTTTTTTAGACATGGTTTCTATGCTGCCAAGCCCGCATATGTAGAAATGCGGGAAAAATGCCCTCAATTTTCTTTGGACATGGTTTCTATGCTGCCAAGCCCGCATATGTAGAAATGCGGGAAAAACGCCCTCAATTTTCTTTGGACATGGTTTCTATGCGGCCGAGCCCGCATATGTAGAAATGCGGGAAAAACCAAGCCCGCATATGTAGCAATGCAGGAAAAACACCCCCAATTTTTTTTTGGACACGGTTTCTATGCGGCCAAGCCCGCATACGTAGAAATGCTGGAAAAATATTTGGATCGTTAGTTTTTGTTGTTTTTTAAATGGAGTACCTACTTGCATCATCTTTAAGGTAGATAATTTATACCTTTTGGACTGCATACGTAGAAATGCGGTCAGCGCGCATGAAACAAGTTTCCTTTCTTTTTCTGTCTATTAGGCCTAACCTGGCCTAAAGCAAACAATGCCATTGCCAGGCCCGGCTTGGGCTAGGCCGAATAAGGACTAGAGCCAGGATAGGACAAGGCATGCTCGGCCCAGACCTATTGCCGACCTGACCAGCCCCCAATAATTTCGTGGTGTCCACTTTCCCTCTAAAACTTCAAACTTGAGGTCGTTTTCCTTTTCACGGCCCGCTCACTCTCGCGCGCGTGCGCATCGACACTTTCTCCCTCCTGAAACTCAAGGCCTTCTCCTTTGATTCCTCTCTCTCGCTCTCTGCCCTTTTCGTTCAGGCGTCCTCTCTCTCTCTCATCCAATCTACAATCCATTCGACAATCCATGATTTGTGACTGCATTTTCAGGCTTACAAACCCTGTGTCTCTTCTAATTCCACCCCTTAATTTCCATTTATTTCAGGAAGCCACAGTATTTCACTGCAACCTCGCTGCAACTCCCCCTCCTGAGCTAGAAATCCATGGGAGACGCGCAAAAATGGAACGTGACTTACACAAAGCACATGAAACAGCGAAGAAAAGTTTACCAGGATGGAGCATTAGAGCTAAATTCCTCAAAAAACAAGGTATTGTTACTTATCAATGACAATTTCATTTGTTCACACTTTATATCCTATATATGGTCTCAAAATCTGATCTGCGGTATCAAACCTCAATTTCCATAGAGATTACTGTTTTCCTATAGTTCTCTACCTATAATAATTGAGTTTTAATGAAACAAAACTATATAGCTTGTAATGCGATTGGATTTAATCAGTTTATGATCATTTTGTTGGACATGCAGATCATGCTTTACGATGATTGTGGAAATGTTGTGGCTAGTAGGTTCTTAAAGAACACTGAAGTGGTTAAATCTGGTAACACCCTAGAGTTTGATTCGTATCTAGTGGATGTTGGGGAATTTGAACAGAAGTGTAAGCCTCTAAGCAGTTCAAACGTTGAGGAACGAGGGAAAAAACCATTTCGAAAGACTCTGTTTCATGGGAATATTCCTAAACGTGATCCTTGTCCTGGTTAGAACCCTTGTTTTGTATCTTAAGTTTTTCTCGTATCACTGTGATCTCACTTTTAGTTTGCATTTTACATCATCTTTAACTTGAAACTCTTTCAATCAGAGAGTAAAGAGAGAGATCTGCATAAAAGTGGAACACAATTTGTACAGAATCTTTCATATTCAAGGCCAAATTTGTTGAAAGGTCAGGAAGATTACTGGTTATTTCCGATGACATTTATGAGTAGTTTATGCTTTTTGCTTGGATCAATCTGTTCTATTGTTCAGAATATAGAAAGAGAAAAATGTACATAATTGGAATGGAATTTGTGCAGAATCATTTCATTTCAATGCCAAATATGTTGAAAGGCTAGTAGTTTCTTAGGTACACGTGACAATATCTTATTGGGAAATTTATCCAAATACCCGTAAGAGATGAGCTATTTAACAATCTACAATTATCTTTTGGTTTAATTTTTATTGACTCATCAAAAGACACATGATTTTGACTGGGAATAGTTGCAAAAGTGTAAAATGATAAACAATTTAAATCATGGGTATTTTGATAAATTTTGCAAAAGGGTAAAAGGATAAACAGTTCAAATCATGGCTATTTTGATAAATTTCCCTAGATTATGTCATTTTCCCAATGTTTCTGATTACATTAATCTGATTCAATTGTTAGTTTATGTCGACTTTAATTTGAAGGTCTTTTGTTTAGAGAATAAAAACAGAGAAGTGCAAAAAACTGGAGCATCTTTGCAGAATATTTCAAATTCAACACCAAACGTGTCAAAGGGTTAGTAACTACTCATGTATGGTATTTGATTTCTCATGAAATTTGTGAGAAGGTTCTACATCCTTCCTTGGTAGAAGGTGTAAACCATCACTAACTGATTGAATTGGTAAGTCTTTAGTAGTTGCAAAAAGTAAAGTACAGATCTTTGTAATTAAAGTATTTTCTCCTACTATTCTAGTCAATTCCTTCAGTCATTTGATTCTCTTGATCGATGGAGGAGATGATACATGTGTTTGTGAGATTTTATTTTTCAGCTGGCTTATTTTGACTTGCCCAAAAAATAACTGGCTTATTTTGTGTGTTACCTCGAATGTGGCAAGTTTTGAATAAATTCACCTTGTAAACAAACCTGTATCCACTCATTTCCTTTTTTGGAATCTCTGCGAGTTCAAGATGAAATTGGTGCATGGCGAATTGAAGTTTGTCCATATTCCAATGAAAACTTACTAAAGGCCCAATTCCATATCTTTTAGTAAGTTCAATGGCAAAGTTATTCTCTTTTTCTATCTGGGTATCATCTTCTTCACGATGATTATCTGCCAAGAAATAAGTTTATATAATATAGGAAACCAATTTTCAAAAATGCAATAAGTGCAGTGTAACATTATAAACTGCCAATGCAAAGTTTGATTAATATATTTATTTGTCTAATATTCTCCATTGTGCACCTGCATTCTTGCCTCATAGAGTGGTGTGCATTGTATACTCAACAAAAAACTCAAAAGACCAAGAAGTATCAAGATGGCTTTGTCCGGCTCGACAATGTCGGCTCATTTAGGAAGCAGGTTAGTTACTCCATTCAAGGTATTAATCACATGTAAGTTTTACTTGCATTCGTTAGTTTGGTGTACATTTGGTCATCTGAATTCTAACTAATCTAGAAATGCCGAGCTTTATCTTTTTCAGTTGTAAGTAATACAAAGGTTTAGTTGCATAGAATTTTCCATCTCCTTTGTTTCTGACAAAACCATTAACCAAGAACTATCCGGCTTTCCATTTATGCAAATAGTAGCAAAGCCTTTGAATTGTGTGCATTCTAGGGGCTACAGACTATGACAAGCTTCAATTTCAAAGGTTGAATGCCATAGCATCATTCACATACAGTGAGAGGATTAAAAATGCTGTGTGTGGTGAAAGTCTTATCAGAGGATCCATCGTAATTGCTTGAAAGAAATCCTTTGTGCAATGTCTTGAAGTGTTTGCAATCATACATAGGTCGTATAATTAATGATTGTTTTCTATAAGTTTCCTGCCTTGTGTTCTCTAGAGGATAATTTCTTGTTGGATGGTGCGTGCCTCAAACATCCAAGATGCCCTTAATGATTTACTTATGAAATCCATGCCTCCAAGGAACATAAAAAATTAAGGTCATGTGCAGTGGGGCATACAATCACACAAGACGGGGTTCTTCCCCCCCTCTCCCTGCCCCCCATGCCCCGCCCTCCCTTTTGTTTTTCTGGGGCGGGGTTTGTTTGTTGGGGGTTGGGCGGGAGTGGAGAAGGAAGTTTGGATGTGATGGAGATAAGGGATAGAGGGAGAGAGGCTGGAGAGAGAATTTTGTTTGAACAATTTTCATGGCTTCTATGAAACTATATTGGTTGGCTTTGTGGTATAGTGTGCATGATAGTTTGCAGGGGTGCAAGAAGAGGATCTTTAGTGCCAGAATTAATTTGATTCAGGTGAAACTTGGTTCTTGAATAAGTTTTTAAATAGCAATATGTTCACATGTACACACCTGTGCATCAAGGTATAAATCTCCTCTCGAATTGATCGACTTTCTTGTTTATTAGCTACTTAGATCTCTTCTTGAACTAATTGATTTTCCTGTTCGCTAATGACACTAAGGTTACTTAGATCTCTTCTTGAACTAATTGATTTTCCTGCTCGCTAATGACACTAAGGTCAAGCTTTATTTGTTTTCTATGGGCAAGCTGTATCCTTCTTTTTGAAGTTCACCTTTTGTGTTCTTTTTTTTGGGTAAATATTCACCTTTTGTGTTCTTTTCCTGTATATATGGTTTGGTTAAAGTCATATTTCATTCTGTATTCCACTTGTATTCCACCTGATGAAATTGAATGTGGCTCATAGGTGATTTTGTTGAATGAAGAGGGAACTGTTTTAGAGAGTAAGTACGTCGCATTTTCTGAAAATGTTTGCACTGGAAGTACTTATGAATTTCCTAGATACATGGTGGAGCTTGGTGAGCCAAGAACTTCTCAAGCAGGTAGAGTTTCTCTTAGTTTTCTCCTGATTAATGTCTGAATTTTGTCCTGAGGTTGCGGTGGAAAGAGAAAGATTTTATGGATATTATTATATAATTTGGTTTCACGAAGTTGGGATGATATATAGTCACTGGTCATTTTATTGTTTTAGCAGGAGAACCTCCCTCACAAAAAAAATCATGTTCACGTTCCATGGGTGCCAACGTTTACAAGTTCAAGAATAGTGAAGTAGTTTCTAACTGTAACATGGTTCGAGATGGTGCGTTCTAGTATTCTATGCATAAATGCCTCCGATCCTTGGAAAGTAATAAGTTATTTCATTTGAAATTTGGTAATTGAAGGTTTAAACTCTGAACTGTTCTTCTATGATCTTCAGAGATTATAGTTTGTGTGGTTGTGGATTTTCATTTTTTAGGTTGTATTATGTGGTTTATAATATATTCAGCAGCAGGATCTACTCGTTGCTCCTATTTTCTTGGTATACATCTTCATTTGGATTTTGATACAACTTTTTCTCTTGGGGCATGAGGGAAAATGATAATATCTAGCTTAACCCTGAACAGCTGGGACCCTTTTTAGAATAAGGAGCAGAATGTTATATCCAATATAGACAAGTAGTGTGACCACTTTTTGCAAGTACTCTGGGATTCATGTGCATTAATATTCTAGAAAGGATTTTGATTCCCAGAAATTGATTAAATCATGATCCACAGAACAAAATAGAACTTAGGACAGATAGTCTATGTTGTAGGTTGCCCTCTATCTGGCCTTACACTATACATATGAGTCTTCCCCTGCAAAACATTATGGATGACTGGATAAGCATGGTAAATGGGAATATTCTTTCCTCCTGTTTTGCTTCTTTTTGGAATATTAAATGAACGCATCTCTCTTTTGTTTTATGTGGCACTATTGTATGTGGTGTGTTTCTTGATTAGGTTTCCCCTCTAGCACAGTGCTGAGGCAATTTTGCTGAAATGGTCCTGTAGTATATTCTGTTCCACACAATTCTATACCATTTTCATTCAGTTAATGAAGGCATGGATTATGTATAAGTGCTGCTATATAGCTGGGTTCTGAGTTGGTTGTACCTCTGTTGACATGTTACTTCTATGCATTCAATGTCGCAGGATATTTGGGTGTTCATCATGTGAATACCAAGCTATTATTGAAATGAAACTAGATTCTATTATTTCCAATGATTATACACATACTTTTTAAAATTTTTAATCTTAACTGGAAATGTATTTTCTCCTAATTCATTTTTTATTCTTCTGATTAGTGATTTTTTTCTTCCAAAATTTTATAGCACATCAGATTTTATCTGTTCTTAAAAAGCCAGTGGATCAAGCGAACCATTCTAGGCTATCAGTGGAGCGAAATCTTTCCAATTGCGAGTCTTCCAGCTTGTCCCCATCTCTTGCACAGGAAAAATTACTCAAGCACGGAACACTAATATCATCATATCAAGAATGTCCAGAAAAAATCAACACCAATGGTTTACCAATATTAGAGGCAGGAGATGTAAAGAAATGTGATATCTCTGGAAGCTACCAGTCCCCCAAAAACTCTGAGGATCCTAAGAAATTTTCAAGCGTGAATTCTGTCAATTTAGTAGATGATAGCCTGGGAATCAGAGGAAGATTAGCAGATAACTCAGATATCACGTCTCGTAAACCGCTAAGGTATGTGTCACATCACATGTCTAAAAAAATGAACTCCGAGAAAAATTGATATTACTTTGGCCATTTTCCGATACTGTATTCTTCTATTTAGCAAGTAGGGTTGTTGATTAGTGCTTTCTCCAAACAAAAGCCTTTATCTTCATTCTTCTTTTTTCCATTTGCTAGGAACCAAATCCGTGTCCACAAATTTTGCTAACCTGATTTTATATGACACCTTCATCATGCAAAAATATGTTGAAATGGATCCCAAAGGAACTACTTCCTTAACTGTGACGAAAAGGAGAAATAGAGTGAGGAAATCCAAGTTTTAGACAATGGTTTATGAGGCATACAACTCGTACAAAACGTGTCAATATTCCACTTCCTTGGAGACCTTTAGAGAAATATCTGCTTAGATTGTAACTTCATCAGTGCTCCTGGAATGAGAGGTTGCATTTGGTTGTATATATCCTCTTTTTTCTGGTTGTTTTTGGATGTTGGATTACCAGTTTCATTCCTTTTAATATTTACCTGTGGTTATGTGCTCATTTTGTGCTATTGTTGGAAATAACCTTATAGAATAGTATGGAAGCTTGTTGATTTTCACATTTGATATCTGTTCAAATAGTTCCACTTGTGTTCCATGGAGACTTGCATCAGCTGTAGAGGTCGGTGCCAACATCAAACAAGAAACAGTTTCCCACACAGGTCATGCCTCAGAAGTTATTGGCACCACCCATGAAAATAAAGTTCATGAATCAGGAGCACTGTTTGATTTGAAAGGTAAGGAAATATTTTGTTATATGGTTCTGCTTCTTGCATGCAACATCAGAGGAATTGCCTGTGATGAAGAAAATGATTAAATTTCCTTTATCATGTCTCCTTCCTAAAAACCGGAATTCACGAGAAACCTCCAATTTGTTTTCAGCGTCCCAATTTCCTTAAAACCTTCATCTAGCCCCTTCTGTACAACTACACTCATTTCCGCTTTATATTTTCAAAGCCCCTATGAATGTGATGATGACAGTCCAAAGCCCTTAACCCTCTCTCTCTCTCTCTCTCTCTCTCTCTCTCTC